GTCGACCGCCGCGGAGTGATGTTGTCGGGCTGGTTTGACACCGGCGCGACGGTGAAGTTCGTATTGCAAGAATACTTTTAATACTACTGGGATGTGTTTGAGAATAAAATACAACACCCGATATGAAAACTTCCTTCAAAAAGGATGTCCGAGATCCTGTTCATAAAGAAGATGAATTCGGGTCGGATTCATTCTCGCGCAGAAAACAAATCCAAAAAGTGATGCACTAATCGGAAGTTTCCCGGAGTTTGAACGGTCGGATCGAGCTGAATTTTTGGCACATGGTAGATATGGGAATTCCGCATCAAATCAACGGTTGGATCCTCCAAAGGACATCCGAGCTAGATGCTGGATACCACGCCCTAAACTCATCCAGATTCTCGTCCAGATTCAATAGGGCTCCGGTATATCGGAGATTGCCGGAGATTCCTCCATCGGAACTCGACGAAATTTTTGCAGGTTTGTTGTAGACTTAATTCCGCATAATTCCACCGAAATAATCGTTTAAGCGACACTCGAGGAGGCGGTGGCGGCGGATACAAGTTTGCTGTCCAGAAAAATAGCACGGTCGCCTGAGGACAATGTTGACGTTGAGCCCCCGAGCTCCATGGATGACTCCTCCATGATCTTGATAGAGATCGGAGTTGGTGTTGATGAAGGCCTTCATCCGAACATGACGATCGGAGGTAGGGCGCAATCCTCGGTCAAGCCAAGGGGACCATTCGAACTGGTGACGAAGAAGCCGACGTCGTAGTTGACCTGCAGTTGAGCCATTGATCCTTTCGCCGATCACACAGCGAAACTCTCAATGAAAGCACCAATGTCGGTGTCAAAACCGGCGGATCTCGGGTAAGGGGTCCCGAACTGTGCGTCTTAGGATCAATGGTAACAGGAGGCAAGGGACACAATGTTTACCCAGGTTCGGGCCCTCTTGATGGAGGTAAAACCCTACGTCCTGCTTGATTGATATTGATGATGTGGGTATTACAAGAGTTGATCTACCACGAGATCAGAGAGGCTAAACCCTAGAAGCTAGCCTATGGTATGATTGTTGTTGTATATATCTATCGATTAGCCTGACCTCGGTTTATATAATGCACCAGAGGCCTAGGATAAAGAGTCCTAGCCGAATACGCCGGTGGGGGAGGAGTCCTTGTCTTGATCACCAAGTCTTGTGGAATCTTCCTTGTATGCGGCAACTGTCCGGACTGGCCCATGAGTATACGGCCATGGGGATCCTCGGCCCAATCCAACTGATCGGGAGACGACGTGGTGAGTACCCCCTAGTCCAAGACACCGTCACAGGGTGTTGTCATGGGGACCTTCACCGTCAGCAACATTCTGCCTACCTACCTCTGTTGGCCGTCCTTCTTCAAGAAGGCATTCTAGATCAACAACGGCATCTTCGCCGAGTAGCAGCCAAAGGCAACGGAAGCACCCTATTTTCCGTGTGACAAAGATAAGACACATTTTTTCTGCAATTTAAGTATATTTGTGCTTGGGTCATTTTGACCAGCCACATGTTTTCATGCGGAATTTCGTCCATCAATTTTGGGCGTGTGACTTAGGAAATACACTAATGACTCATCCCATCGTGTGTCTAATGTCAGAGATCCAATCGTTCTGAAATACATTGTAGCACAGCTATATAATAGTGTTGGTGTACTGAAACACACTGCTACAAAATGTTGCTTGCCCAACTTCCTGCTCTGACTTTCAAAAAAAAAAAAAACCTTCTTGCTCCGAGATTCCTGCGAGATTAACTTGATGCTTCCGATGCCAGTGCTGGGAAAAGACAAGTAGACCTGAAAGCACGGATGAGCGACCTTTATAATAGCATGTTATTTAGATAATCCGTCCATGCTATAACAACAAGGGCCGCGTACGCGTTGACCGGGTGATAAATTGATAATCCTAGCTAGTTTCTCACTGGCTGCTACTGATTGGCAGTACAGGATGCTTGGATCGCATCGTGGGGGGAGTGGATATATAAATACAGTAAGGGCCAATTCGCCATGGCGTGCTATGGCAAGGGAGAGAGTGGCAGTGGCATGTGTGTCTCGCACGGGCAAGCGCGCTTCACTCTAAGGCTTCCTTTGGTTTAGAGGAATCTTGTAGGAATTTTATAGGATATGATTTCTATAGAAAAAATTCCTTTAGAGCCCTTTGGTTTGTAGGAATGGAATCCTATCCATATGGAGGAATTCTTCCTATCCTTCACATTTCATAGGAAAATAAACATTAGCCTAGACTCAATAGAAAAAAATTCTATGATGTAAATCAAGGGCATCTTCTTTCCTATTCCTACTCATAGGATTTGAGATACATGCCATCTCATTTCCTATGACTTTCCTATTCCTATGATTTTCCTATCCTATGAACCAAAGAAGGCCTAAACAGGCGTTAAATGAGCTAGCTCAACTTGGATTCCACTACACAAGAGCACAAGACAACTACAGTGCACTTTTTATTAATATATCTGACATAAAAAGACTAGTACGGGTGTCGGACGAACCAAAAGGCAATGCTGTCTAAGGTTTTGGCTACCAAATCCAATAAAATTACCAAGGGGCGGCGAGAAACACGGTAACCGTGGATACCGAAAATATCATTTAAAATTTTCAAACAAATTTCAAAATCAATGTTTTCCTGTACTATTACAGATTGGAAAAAAAAACTCAGGTGTTTCTGAAGCTAGATGCTAGCGCAGTGGCAAGGGCACCGTCCTGGTTATCTGAGTTTTGGAGTTCGTTTCCCCGCTTGGCGTCAGTTTTCTTAACAATATACTAGAAAACATGCCCGTGCATTGCAACGGGAGGAAAATAATTTTCATGTCCTTAGCTCAGGCCTCATGGACTCCTTCGTTGCAACACCATAAAAGAAAAGAAAAAAAAGCACTTGTTTTACAATTCCATACGTTATTTGTATATAGTTGTACACAATACATCGTAAGGGATATCGACAAATAGCACTACAAATATCCATCCGGTTTGATAAGGTGGCATTGCATGAGAATTATTAAATTTGATTATGGTTGTTAAAGAGAATATTGGTCCCACTAACCCATATGTTAACATCAACTAAATTCCAACTTAGCCGTTATCATATCAAAAGTAGATTTAATTACACGAAACCTCAAACACATGGTGAGCAGTTCTAAGAGATAATGAAGCAATTATGTTAAATTGCTCATGTGTTTTCGGAAATGTGAATATTTTGGTGAGTAGTTTTAAGACTACATTAATTACGCGTCCTACCATGAATGTTTTGGGAAATTGCTCATGATGGCGACGATGTTGGCAAACCTTATGGACAGGAACTCAAGGTCTACAATGTCATCTCCCTCTCCAATTTCGCTCAATGTGTTCATGGTCCCGGTCCGGGTACCACCTTATTTTTCTTTTTCCCTTGCTGATAAGATTGACTTGTTGAGCACTTCATCTAACAAATGATTCAGGTATGGTCAAGTTAAAGGTAAGAAAAATAACAAAGTATAAATGTATCTCTGGATCTACAGAACCATACAAATGACATGCATGTGAGCATCTAGACAACTGCTAAGACCGTTGACTATGCTATATACTAGTGATTGGGGCGCCACCCTATGGCGCCCCTTGAGAGGAAGCTGTGCGCATGTTTTCATTAAAAAACGTAAAGTCCTCGCCCCCGTAAAAAAAAATCTAAAAAAATCCTCATCTTCATCTAAAAAAGAGGTAGAAAGAGAAAAGGAAAAATTACCACACCAGCCTACCAGCGAGTGCCACTTTGCTTAACCCTCTATTTAAAAAAAAACAGAGGGCCCCATCTCCATCTAAAAATATATATTTAAAAAATAATCCACACGTCATCTAAAAAAATTGCAAAAGATTTCTCAACACGTTATCTAAAAAAATTGCAAAAGATTTCTCACCACGGCCAACCAGCTTGCGCCATGTGGCATAGCTGGTTGGCCGCCCTTCATGCGTAGCTAAATGATTTTAATTTTCACTGCATATCTGCTGCCCTTCTACCTGCACTTGCAAATAGGCAAAGTTTTGATGAAACAATCAATTCAACAGAGAAAAATACATACTGCAGCACCGGTTATGCCCCACTTCAGTTGTCTCCACGCAGCCGCGGACACACACGACGGCATCACCTGTTTCCGCCAGCTCGCATGGATGCTCCACTCCACGCTTGCCAGCTTGAAAGCCATCCACCCTAGTAGCACGGTTGGAAAATAAGCATTTTTCTGGTCAGATTACATATATAAATTATTTTAATCCGAGTTACGGTTACAAAGTTATAGCATGACCATTTTAACATAATCTTTGTAAATAAAAAAGACCAAGGACCTAAACGGGCTGAAAAAAAGAGTGAACTGGGCATACTGCAGGTGAACGCGGAATACTAATCAGAGCCAAGTTGAGGCGAAGCCCAACAAATGTAGAGAAAGAAGAGGGACTTAATACTAGACCACGAGTTATTTAAAGAACACCAGGGGTCCTTTTATAAAAGGTACGACGACGGATAGGCAGAAGTTTTTTTAACGGTCTTTTTATGGGAGTAGGTATATAAATAGCCCTGATTGAAACGGTAGACAAGTCCATGATCTGCCTAATCCAGCTTGCCCATCAAGAAACTTTGACTAGTATACAATGTACATATGTCAAAGAAAGTCACCATCTTCTAATATTATCTTTACACTATCAGATCATATCAATCCATTTTTTTTTTTGACACTGGAGCAACCGATCAGTACCACGCCTCATACCATACGACTATTCACAAAGAAACTAAAGGCCAACGACTAAAAAAAACTAAAAAGAATTCAATCTTTCTTGGGGAAGAAGCAGCAACACCCACCGTCTGAATTCTGAATACAGTGGACATGAAGAAAAACTCGCCGTTAGACCCCTATAAGTACCGGCGTGTTAGTTTGTTTAGGTAGGCAAGATATCAGCAAGCAAGCAAAGCAAAGCAAAGATAAACCAGAATCCGCAAGAAAAAGCAAAGCAAAGATGGCTGAACCGGTTAAGCTCATCGGCACATTGGGTAGCCCATTTGTCCACCGCGCCGAGGCCGCTCTGCGGCTAAAAGGGGTGCCCTACGAGCTGGTCCTGGAAGATCTCCATAGCAAGAGTGAGCTGCTGCTGAAGCACAACCCCATCCACCAGAAGGTGCCCGTGCTCGTTCACGGCGGCCGAGCCATCTGTGAGTCCCTCCTCATCATGGAGTACGTCGATGAGGCCTTCGAGGGGCCGCCCCTCCTGCCCACGGATCCCTACGACCGCGCCACCGCCCGTTTCTGGGCGCACTTCCTGGAACAGAAGGTGATCATCTCCTATATCCTCCCACTGCCCATACAAGCTAGCTAGCTGCAATCTTTTTATTTATTTTTTCGAAAAAGAGGATAATCCCCGGCTTTTGCATTGAGCGATGCACACACCCATCTTTATTAATTATAGCCATCGTCTTTTCATGAGCATCTTTTCTAAAAAAAAAATCTTTTCATGAGCATGCACTTACCCAACATACACTTGATGCCCATGCAAGCAGTGCGCGAGGCCGTTCTGGCTGGCCATGTGGCTGGACGCCGGCGAGGAGCAGAAGGGATTCATGAAGGAGATGAAGGAGAACCTGGCGCTGCTGGAAGGCCAGCTTCAGGGGAAGAGGTTCTTCGGCGGCGACTCCATTGGCTACCTCGACGTCGCCGCCTGCGGGCCGGCCCACTGGATTTACGTGTTGGAGAAGGTAACTGCGGTGAGCTTGATGGGCGAGAACGAGTTCCCTGCTCTGTGCCGCTGGGGAAAGGAGTATACCGAGAATGAAACCGTCAAGGAGTGTCTGCCGGCGAGGGAGCAGCTCGTCGCCTTCTTCACAGCGAGGAAGGACATATACAAGATGATAGCCAACACGATGCTCCATCAATAGTAGCAACTCGATCGATCGGTGCAAAATGCAGTGTGCCAGTATAATTATGCATGTTGTGTGCTAGAATAAATTTTTGGAATTGCGATTCCACAAACCGGGATGTATTCTTGTGTGTGTGTGTGCGCGCGCGCGCGCGTGTGTGTGTGTGTGACATCAAAAAATTCTGAGTGCTTAATATTGGTGCTATATACTGTACTCGGCTAAGATTTGACCATACCATGTGCAAAATATACATTTGGAGTAAGTTGTGTTGAATAGTAATATTCAAGGAGCAATCATATGCTCAAAATTACATAAATTTGGTAGTTTCCCAATTACTTATATTTTGGACAAAAAGAACTACATTCAACAGGAATATAGATCCTCGTGGTCAACTTTATGTACTGTGTGGCACGCAGCTGCCTCCTTCCCTAACAAAAGTTTAGGATTCCTCTGCCTTCCGTCGACGCCATCGCCGGTCCGCCTTGTCTCCGGTGGCCTTAGGGCTAGGGCAGCATGGTGGATCCCGACCCTGCTGGCGGGAGGATCTGTTTTTAGATGTTACTTCAAGTTTTGTTAGGGTTTGTGTTCTGCTCAGGAAGATAAGACGGCGGCGGCTTTCTGAAGATGGAATAAGGATCTCCCCGCCTAGCCCCTGTCCTGGTGGTGTGTCTCACATCGTCGGTGCGCGTGTGGAGGTATGTATATGGCGGATCTGTCTTGGTGAATTTGCTCGGATCTGGCCGTAGTACGTCTACGTTCATGTGTCCTCAGGTTGAATCCTTTCGATCTACGCTACTCTTTATCAGCGGCGGTTGTTGTTCTGCTCTGTTGGTCCTATAGAGCCTTGGCATGACGGCTTTCTGATTGTCTACTACAACAAGTTTTGTCCAGCTCCGGTGAACGAGGGGCGATGATGGCGGCACGCCTTCGGCTCGCATCAGTTGTTGTAGTCGATGCTGGGTGGTCTACAGATCTGAATGTAACTTCTATTATTTGTGGTGTTCGTTGAACCGTCATGACTGAAGATAAATAGATTGGAAGTTTTCTCGCAAAAGAAAACTTTATGTACCATAGTCCAGTAGTAACTATAAAGTTACATAAGAAAACGGACCCTGATAAGTGTTACAGTGTGGCATGAACACATGTTAACTTCGAACATTTTTTATGAAAACGCGAGAATGGCAACTTCTTTTCGGATGACAAGTTTCAATTTTTTTTCGTTTATTTTTTCTCTTCGGATGGCAACTTTAGTTGTAAAAATCATCAAGGCCGGAGTGTTGCATGACACACATGTGACACTTATCATTTGAGAAAATAATTGAGATGGGATCAGCATAATATCTTATTAACATCACTCACTTTTCAAGTACATACTAATGGGAAGAAACAAAGAGAGTTGCAACTTGCAGCCCAAAGCAGTACGAGGATAGAGCATGCCATTTTCCGTGCTTCTTCCCATATTCTACCTTTTACTTTTCTCTGAATAGCTGATAGTTGGATGGATATCATCTACTTGTTCTGGGTGAATTGTCAAGAGCACTAATCTGTTTTTTCAGTATTAGTACAGATAACTACTGCTGCATGTACATGCATGCTTGAGTGCGTCCACCATGAGACCGGCCATGCTTGAGTACGTGCATGCTTGAACGCTTGCTGCATGTACAAAGTACAATCCATCAACAGCTAACTATTGTTTCATTTTCAGGCAGAGGTTGAAGAAGAGCCGAAAGAAGCCGCTGTACGAGGCCCTCCTGAAGGTGAAGGAGGAGCTGATGCTACTGGGGTCCATATCGTTGCTGCTCAACATGTTCCAGGCCCCCCTGGGGAAGGTATGCGTCCGCCGGAGTGCCATGCGCCACATGCTTCCCTGCAAGCCGCCACCGCACCGGCCACGCAAGACCCACCACTTCGCTGATGCTGTGTTCACCGGCGTCATGGGCGGGGCCAGGCGGCTCTTGGCTGGAGGAGGCGCCTCCGATGAATACTGCCTCAAGAAGGTACTAACTTGAAAAATTAATTGGCCGCGGAGGTGCTTGATTTGGTCTTTGCTACTCCTGTTTTCTGTTTTCTTTCCTAAGTGTGGACTTCTCCTCGACTCAAAATATTTGGTTATTTTTTTATGAGAACCAAAATATTTGGTATTTTGTAGTATTTGATAATCACTTTCCATATTTCATCGCTTCCTCTAATGATTTTTTTGCGGGGAACTTCCTCTAATGATTTATTCTATATGTTTACTTGGTATACGTAGGGCAAATTTCCAATACTTTCATCTGAAGCTATTCATCAGTTACACATATTTATCTTCGTGTTGGCGGTCACTCATTTCCTTTTTAGTGCTATTACAGTTCTCCTTCACAGATTAGAAAACTCAAAATAGATGTTTCGTAGTACTACTAATAAGTCCTTAATCTATCATGCTTATAATAAAAAAATGTTGCTGGTTTTCCAGACGAGAAAGTGGCGAAATTGGGAGACCAAAATCCAAAGAAATGATGATAGTGGTAAGATACATACACATTTCAAATTTGATGAGTGATACCTTCACAGATTTTCCTCATTATAAGGTTATGTCATATTATTTCCTTATGAATGTTTGTCGTAACTTGCAGCCCCTCGAATGATCAAACATGTTCAAGAATTCATATTTATTCAAGACCACTTTAAAGGTGACAAAAAAGATGGAAGACATTTGGTTGACTGGTATTTTTTTTCTCTTGAACTTAAAGCGTCAATGAAAATATATATTGCAATTGTTGTTGACTATAACTGAAGTATAAGACAATCAAATGTGATTTTAGCGTTCCTTCTTCAAGCAATTTTATGGATCTGTCAGCGAGGAGGACTATACAACAATGCGACTTGGTTTCATCATGGTAATTAATCATACATAGTTGTCATCAAATAGAAGTTGCTTCCAAACTTTTGAGCATGCCTTGTTAGTGGATGAGATTTGAATGTTCTCCTCCCCTTTTCACAGAAACATTGTAGGGGGGACTTAAAATTCAACTTTTACAGTTACATGATTAGAGCATTGGAGGTTGATTTCAAGAAGGTTGTTGGTATTAGGTAAATAGTCAATGCTACTACCACACAATATATGGCATGATGTTCTTCCATTGGTTATATCAGTTATTACCCTCGCAAAAAAGAGAGGTTATATCAGTTATTGGTATGCAAAGTAACTAATTAACTGGCATGTTTTTTGATGCAGCTGGTACCTTTGGACTATGCTGATGATATTCCTATTGTTGAATGTTCAAGGTATTTATTTTATGTTGTGCCCTACTTACATATTTAGCATGAATTATTGTATTAATATATTTTTGGCTAAGTTTACTAAATAACCTTCTATTGCTTTATGGAAAACATAACTTCACTGTATGGTTGCCTGTTATTGTAGGATGGTATGTCTACAATTGGATATCGGTGGTTCCATTCATTGTAAGTAAACATAGTATATTGTCCATGACAAAAAAATTGAAAACACACAATTTTATTAGTTTATGCATGTTTTTAGGGCGTATTTTCTTTTTGGTATGGATCCGGTGAAAGGCACAACCTTGACATGGAATTATGCATTTGTTTTGGTAGATGCTACTTGTAGTTGGAAGTAAGATGGAGCACATCATTACGGAACTGGCTTATGAGGTTGCCCAGAAGCATACAAGAATCCGTGGGGAATTAGTGGTAGCCTGGTTGGCATCTCTAGAGGCCGCTCTAGAACGCCAATGAACGTTGCGCGCCAGAAAACGCGAAAAATCGGCTGGCGACTGGTACCTCATAATGGAGCCTAGGGTCTAAGGGGGTGTTTGGTTCAGGGACTTTTTAGTCCCAGAGACTAGAAAAAGTCCCTAAAAAGTCCCTAGGAACCAAACGGGAGGGACTTTTTCTACAGGGACTAGAAAAAGACTCTGCTAGAGAGTCTTTTTTGATTAGTCCCTGGGACTAGAAAAAGTCCTAGGACTTCTTAACCAAACACCCCCTAAAAACGGTGTAGGCACGAACAAATTTTGACGGGCATTCCAGACTTGTCAAAATTTACGGTAAAACTACAGGAAAGCACGCAAAAACAGCTTTTCTTTGAGGGGGTGTCACCCCCTTCCATGTATGGCCGGTCAACGAGAAGTGCCACTAGAGAGTCCCCCGCCCAATTTTGCCTCCCAACCACATTCCCTACCAGCCGGAACTTTCTCGCCGAAAATTTTGTTTCCCGCCCCAAAGCGACTTCCATTACTTTACTATTTTTTATCCGTCCCTCTCACTCCAACCTCCCTCCCTCGGTCTCTCTCTCCCTCCCTCTCTCTCTGTGTGTGTGTGTGTGTGTGTGTGTGTGTGTGTGTGTGTGTTTGTTCTTGTTTTGTTGGAGCAACACCAAGCAATGATGAACAACGTGCCCGCTTTTGACACACCCACATGTTCCTGTTGTATGCACGCAATCATGACGCCGGTCGGAAGATAGCCTTGCTGGGAACTGCACAACTTGAGCATGCGGGATGCTCCGGCCCGACCGGGGTGATTGCTGGTCCATCGGAGAGCCCTATGAGAGCGGAGGATCGAGGGCTCTCTCTTCTATATTTTTCCCTTCACCTTGTCGGAGAGAAACCATACAATGACGTAAGATGCACGCTATTTTGACAAGCTTTGGTTCGATGCACACAACCATAACCCCAGCTCAAAGTTGGCCTCGAGGAGGACTCCGCCGCTTGAGCATACGAGCTCCATGGCCATAGTTTGTCCCCGCCCCAAATTTTCCCACCCATTTTTCCTGCTGAAATTTTTGGCGTGTGATTCCTTTATTAGGTCTACGACTTTCCTATTTTGTTTTTTCCTTTCTTGGAGAGACACCATACAACTTTTTTATTTGTTTTTTCATTTCTTGGAGATACACCATACAACTATGAACAACGCACACCATTTCGACATAGTAAGGTTTGGGTTGAATCCATGCGATCGTAACCCCGGTTATGATTGATACATAGCCTCCGGGAGGGTTCCGCAACTTGAGCAAGTGAGCT